AACCCCCTGACACATTGGTTTGAACCCTCCCAAGTGACATTAGCAAGTTTGCCGTCAGGATACTGGCATCCCTCCAGTTTAGGTGAAACCCGTCCTTCTTGTACAAGTCCCACCTGTCCTGGAAGGCATCCCAATGATACACATGCCTGAAGCCCTCCCTCCTGCACCAGCTCTTTAGGCACATATTTAACTGGACTTTCTTCCTATTCCTAGCCTCACTGGCAAATAGCAGAGGAAGTAGTCTCATGAATGCAACCTAGAGGACTTGCTTTTCAACTTCCTACCTGACTCCCTGAACTCACTTTGCAGGACCTTGACACTCTTCCTGCTTCTGTCCTTAGTACCTATGTGTGCCATGACCTCTGGCTGCTCACCCTCCCTTTTGAGAATGTCCTGAATTTCCTGAAATATCCTGGACCCAGCCATGAGGGAAGCAACACACCATCTTTTGTGGACAGAGAAATGCCTTAACTGTGTCCCTGACTACAGAGTCCCCCTACTGCACTTTGACCCTTCCTGATGTACAACAGAGCCATCTATCTGCCTGAACCTTGGGTGTGTCTTTAAAACTCCTCTCTATGACGCTTTCTGCCTCCTGCATGCTCCTCAATGTGTCCAGCTGCTGCTCCAACTGATCCATGCGGCCTGAAAAGGAGCTGCAATTAGACACCCTTTTGTCAGGGGCATTGAAACTGTCTCTAATTTCTCACATGCAACAGGAGAAGCACGCTACCACTGACTGCCATTTGAACCCTCTAGCAGCTATTTAATTGAAAATAAATTTCTATTAAATTAATTTACAGCTAACTAGATAGTCCCTAGAGTTAATTCTCACTAAATAAACACTAAATACTCTATTCTTCAAAGAACAGTCTCGGTACTGCTCTCAATCCCCTGTACTACCACTAGCCTCAATCCCACTGCTCCTAAAACCTTATGGGGATGAAAAGGTGAATGAAAATTGAAGGTGAAGTATAAAGAATCACCTGACCATGACTTACCAAACAGGAGCCCTTCTGTCCAAGATGTCACTTTTGAACTTGTGAGATGAGAAAGTGCAGCTCTCCATGTAACAGATCAAGATAAGGCTGCCACTGAAAACTTTGTGGTCATGGTGACAGTCTAAGGATAAGGGATAGGCCATTTAGGACTGAGATGAGAAGAAATTCCTTCGCTCAGACAGTGGCGAGTCTATGCGATTCTGTGTGACAGAAAGTGATTGAGGTCAAAACTTTGAATATTTTCAAGAAGTCAGATATAGCTCTTAGTGTTAAAGAATTGTAGGGTATGGGGAGAAAGTGGAACAGAGTACTGAGTTGGATGGTCAGCCATGATCGTATTGAATAATGGAACAGGCTCAAAGCCTTGGATAACCTACTCTTGTTCCTATTTTATAGGTTTCTACATAAAATGTGGGCATACACAGCAGATGTGGCGGCAACTGTAGAGAGAAAAAGAGAGGTAATGTTTCAGGTCTGTGGTCTTTTATCAGATGCTGTCCATGACTTACTGAGCATTCCTGCTTTTATTTCAGTTTTTCAGCGCCCTCAGAATTGTACCTTTGTGATAATATTTCAGGTGTGCTCCTCACAGCCAGCCCCATTTCTTAATTCTGGCTACATTGGTTACTCATTCTTGTATGTTACTAAGATTGGAGAAGGGCTTTGCCAAAACAGAGTCTCACACTAAGGGCGAAAACAAAAACATTTATTTCTCTGTCTCTCTCTTCATTAAGAGACTAATCCTGACTTCAGAAGTCAGTGACCCTGAAGTAGAAAAAGGTACTTAAACATCAGGTTGCAATTAAAGAAAGAGAAAGAAAGAAAAATTCTCCAGTCAACTAGGAACGACCCAAAGGTTAAGTAATATTTGAGGAGAGGGGCTATGATGGCTGGGGGCTGGAAGAATGTTTAATGGTTTATTATTTCTTTGGAAGTTTTGGGCACAGTGCTGGAACCCTGAGGTAGGCCTTCCATCCAGTTAACCTCTGCATCTGGCATCGTCTTCACTGCTTGTGGTGTCGTCTGCCCCATTGTTTGATACAATCAACAGCTCAGACTGATAATATGACAACAGGATCGGACATTTTTCAAAGTTGAGGTCACAGAAGCGAGAATTGTCTGCATTACCCGTGCCCATGACAAAAACCTAGACACTGGAATGACCTCCTGTTCTGCAATCACATGGTCAGCTACTAAAATGGCCTCAGAGCACTAAGTGACAGAAATGAGTACAGTCTGCCAGCTAGGCCCACAACTCAAGAAAACATTTTTAAAAACAAGCATATTCCAATCAGCCAAAATGCCAATTAATTTAACTTCTTGACTTGAGCCAAGTCTCTCAAACAACAACTTAAAAGGACACAAGTCTACCTCCGCTCAATAATAAACTGGTTATTAAACAGCAAATATCCGAATCACTACAAAGACCATTGAGACATTTGCTACTTTTGCTTTTTGCATTTACCTCCTATAATCATACTGCAGAAATTAGAGGGCGCAAGCCAGAAGTAACTTTCTAAAAAGTGAATTGTAACAATACCAAGTGGGTCCTGATCTGGAACCTGAAATGTAGAAGGAACTTGCTGACAGCTAAGAATCCACAAACAGGTCCAGAATCTAGACTTCTCGGGCTACTTTTAACTTGTGACTTCATGGCCAGTCCATGAATTAAAAATTATAATTGTGAGATTACCCATGAAGGATATACTAATACAACCATAACTTAATTGTTGAGATTTGCTTTACCTCCTACTGTCAAATATGTGGAATTCACATTCTAATAAGTTAGAATCATTATACAATCACAGGCTTACCTTCCATTGGTCCTAAAAGTGATTAAAGAGTAAGCAGAAACACAACTACTTCAGTAGCCAGAACATATTTTCCAGTTTGCACTAGGTTAAGCATGGCCAGTTTTGTGGAAATGCAAATTATCTTCCCTTCTAGAGATCACACACATTGCAAATAATTTAAAGAGCAAAGCAGAATTTATTCCATGAAGTAAGACTGACCTCTAATGGCTATTTTGATAAAGTCATGATGTATAATTACTGCAGGGACTGCAACGTTTTCCTAATAGGTCTGATGATCTCAGTCAGCCAACTTAGAAATTAATGACAATGAGGAGTGACAGTGTCATGAACTGGACATCTGCTATGCTTGACAACTGTAAATTTCTACTGAAATGGCAAATGCATGCTTATTTCTCAACCTACATGAAAGTTTCAAATTTCATGAATGAACACCTCTAATAACCACACCAAGAGCTCTGGCAGACAAGGCAGAGGCATCCAACTGATATAAGTAATGTCATACAAGTAGCAGTCATGCCAGGCAGTGACCATCTGCAATAAGAGAACAATCTAACCATCTTGCTTTAAGTGTATCATCATTGCCATTGCTGAGTACCCCATCATAAACATTACCATTAACCAGAAGCTAAACTGGAACAATCATTTAAATATTGTGGCTACAATAGCAGGTCAGAGGTTGGGAATTCAGTAGCGTGTAACTCAGCTCCTCACTCTGCCAGCATTTCCATCATCAACACAGCACAAGCCAGGAGTATGATAAAATACCGTCCAGTTGCCTGTAAGTGTGTCACTCCAACAAAACCTAAAAAATTCAAAGCCATCCAGGACAAAGCAGCTAGCACGATTGGCATCCTACCCACTATCTTCTACAGCTACTCCATCCCCAGCATGCTCCTTTAGCAGCATTTTCTAAACCTGTGATTTTTCCTACCTGGAGCTGCCGGTACATGGACCACCACCACCTACAAATGACCCACCAAGCTAATCTAAAGTAAATTTTGACTCCCTCTACCAAATAGAAATTGAGTAGAATTTACTACTCTATTCCCACGCTGGTTTAACGTTGTTATTAACTTCTGCCAATGACTGAGATGTTCATCTGATCCATATCCTTGTCATATTGTTTTTATTAAAACAATAAAACTTTAAAATCTTTTTTCATAAAAGGAGGAATTATGTTGAATATATTGCAAACCATGGAATTGTGTAAGTTATGGCACTGACAGAGAATATTTGAGCGCATTGCATCCGATCTGGTGATAGCTGTCCATTTGAAGCCATATAACATATCCTCTGCTTTTAACCGTTTCTCTCCACATTGTTTTAATAATTTCCTATCCATTTTAAATTATGTTCTGGTCTGATCTTCAGAAGTTAGTAGTGGTGAAACATTCCATTTTCTAAAACCTCATTCTAAAAACAATTCTTCTAAGTTCTGTCTCCATTCTCTTGCTGATACTAAGCCTCTCAATCATATTTGAACTTTTCAGTTCCAATGAGAATGCCCAAAGTTTCATTGTTGATTTATTATCTCATTGCCAGTAACGTTTTAATGGATTCATATATCCCTTTGATCGTCCTTATTGCATTCTAGAATTGTACCTAAATTTCAAATTGTAACTTAAACATGGGGGTGGATTCTGGTTGGAGCAGAACAGCTCAAGTCCTTTGCCATTCAGCTTTTTTAAAAAAATTATGCCATGATCACTGGAAATGTAAGTTTATAATGATGTGATGAGGACAATAAAGCATCCAAGACCTTAATGTACAGTAGAACTAACAGTTTATCTCCCTTAACCAAGGGGTTCTTCTAGCACAGGGGTAGTGTCCTGATCTCTGAGCCAAGGGTTCAAATCCTATCTGCATGTGTGATAGTCTAATTAAAATAACTATCTCCTTAACCAGTGAGATTTAAGGCTGGAAGAATGAAAAGGAGCAGGGTGAAATAATATCAAAACAGGTATATAAAGAGAGGGGAAGTAAAATTTGTGAGCAAGGGGGAGATGATGACAAACATTAAAAAACTTAAAATTTACAACAAGAGGAATGAGATTGAACATGTTGGATTGCTCCATTATAGGGTGAGATGTTGATTGACATTAGGTTAACAATTATCCTATAGCTTAACAAAATACTTAGAGTGCTACTTATAAGCTTTAATTTTCTTAGGTGAGTTTAACAGGCAATTAATGTACAAATCTAGAAAGTTCTCAAAAATAACTGGGAGGCCAACAGTGAGTTTTTTTAATGTGAAACAAACAGCAAAGGAATGTAAATGAACCCGAGAGTTACGATGGTTCGCAACTTCAATCCCCTAAATTTACGGGGCAATGTGTACATTAATAACAGCCACCAAGAGCACGCAGTAAGATCTCACAAACAGTAATGTAATAATCATCAGAAAACCTGTGTTATTTTAAGGAGATTGTTAAGAATTCATAAAGAGGGTGTATGAGAAAGGCTGGCTCAACTTTAACTTGGTAAACCACCAAGACTGGATTTGATGCATCCATAGATACTGACAAAATTAGTCATGAAAACTTTGGAAACAGTAACATAAACAACTGATCCACTTTACATTCAAGGACGGTGCAAGAAAACTGGAGAATTGCAAGTAATAAACATTTGTTCAAAAGATGGTGAAATGGAAACCGAGCAACTACAGGCTAGTCAGTTTAACCTCCATGATAGGGAAACTTCTCGAAAAATGGCACAGGATAAATTAACAGTCAATTAGAGTCATAGAGATATACAGCATGGAAACAGACCCTTCGGTCCAACTCGTCCATGCTGACCAGATATCCTATGTAAATCTAGTCCCGTTTGGCAGCATTTGGCCCATATCCCTCTAAACCCTTCCTATTCACATACCCATCCAGGTACCTTTGAAATGTTGTAATTGTACCAGCCTCTGCCACTTCCTCCAGCAGCTCATTCCATACACACACTAACCTTCGTGTGAAAATATTGCCCCTTAAGTCCCTTTTAAATATTTCCCCTCGTACCTTAAACCTATGCCTTCTAGTTTTGGACTCCACCACCCCGGGTAAAAGACCTTGCTTAATTACCCTATCCATGCCCCTCATGATTTTATAAACTTCTATAAGATCACTCGTCAGCCTCTGATGTTGCAGAGAAAATAGCCCCAGCCTATTCAGCCTCTCTCTATAGCTCAAACCCTCCAACCCTGGCAAACATCCTTGTAAATCTTTTCTGAACTCTTTCAAGTTTTACAAAATCCTTCCTATAGGAGGGAGAAAAGAATTGCACACAATATTCCAAAAGTGGCCTAATCAATGTCCTGTACAGCCGCAACATGACCTCCCAACTCCTGTACTCAATGCACTGACCAATAAAGGCAAGCGTACCAAATGCCTTCTTTACTATCCTTTCTACCTGCAACTCCACTTACAAGGAACTATGAACTACACTCCAAGATCTCTTTACACAGCAACACTCCCCAGGACCTCACCGTTAAGTGTGTAAGTCCTGACCTGATTTGCCTTTCCAAAATGCAGCATCTCACATTTATCTAAATTAAACTCCATCTGCCACCCATTGGCCCATCTGATCAAGATCCCATTGTACTTTGAGGTAACTTTCTTCACTGTCCACTACACCTCCAATTTTGGCATCTTCTGCAAACTTATTAACCAAATCTCCTACGTTCACACCCAAATCATTTATGTAAATGACAAAAAGCAGTGGACTCAGCACCGAGCCTTCTGGCACACCGCTGGTCACAGGCCTCTAGTCTGGAAAGCAACCCTCCACCACCACCCTCTGTCTTCCATTTTTGAGCCAGTTCTCTATCCGGATAGTTAGTTCTCCCTGCATTCCATGTGATCTAACCTTGCTAACCAGTCTATCACAAGGAACCTTGTCAAAAGCCTTACTGAAGTCCATATAGATATATCCACCGTTCTGTCCTCATCAATCCTCTTCATTACTTCTTCAAAAAACTCAACCAAGTTACTGAGACACGATTTCCCACACTCAAAGCCATGTTGACTTTCCCTAATCAGTCCTTCCCTTTCAAAATACATGTAAATCTTATCCCTCAGAATTCCCTCCAACAATTTGCCCCACCCCTGATGTCACGCTCACTGGTCTATAGTTCCCTGGCTTTTCCTTATCCCTTTGAATAGGGTGGATTAATTGAGGAAAACTAGCATGGGTTTATTAAAAGCAAAATTTATTTAACTAACTTGGAGTTTTTTGATAAGGTACAAAGGCAGCTGGTGAAGGTAATACAGTTGATGGTGTGGTTGTGGACTTCAAAAAGGCATATATTTGGTAAAGTGCCACATAAAAAATTTGCCAGCATAAGCGAAGCTTGTGGAGTTGAAGACAGCATGAATAAGAAGCTTGCTAAATGATAGCAAACAAATATGATCAGTAGTTAACAGTTTTTGAACTGAACGAAGATGTTTAGAGGGTTTCTCTTGAGGTTGATACTAAGACCACTCTTTTCCTTAATATATATTAATGACTGAAACTTAGGTGTGCAGAATATGATGTCAAAAACTTGCAGGTGACACAAAACATGGGGGTGTGGTGAACTTTGAGGAGGGTCATAACAGAATTAAAGAAAACACAGATGAATGTCATGGGCAAACATTTGGCAGATGAAAATTAATGCGACAACGTGTAAAGTGACACATTTGCTAATAGTGATGAGGAGAGGTGATATAAACTAAACAGCATAATTCTAAAGGGCGTACTCTAACAGAGGGATCTGGAGGCATGCATGCATAAGTCATTAAAGGTGGTAGGACTGGTTGGTAAAGTGGTTAAAAGGGCACACGGTCTAGGTTTTATTCATAAATGCATAGAGTACTAAAGCAAAAAAGTTATGATGAAACAAAAACAGAGATCGCTGGAAAATCTCAGCAGGTCTGGCAGCACCTGTGGAGAAAAATCAGTTAACATTTCGGGTCGAGTGACCTTACCTCAGAAAGTTATGAAGAATGTTTACAAAAACCTGATTTAGCATCAGCTAGAGTTTTGTGTCCAGTTCTGGGGTCCACACTTTGGAAAGAATGTGATGACTTTCGAGAGTGTGGAAAGAAAATTTACCAGATTTTATTTCATTGATGAGTGGCTGCAGTTACTTTGATAGATAGGTGAAGCTAAGGTGGTTCTCCTTGGACAAGATTAGGTTGAGAGGAGATCTAATGGAGATGTTCTAAATCACAAGTTCTTTAAAGAGTAAATAAACAGAGCCTTTCCCATTGGCAAAAGAATTGAGGACCAAAAGATGCTGTTTTAAGGTGATTGACAAATGTGCTTGTATCTCTGGAGTGAGCCTTGAATCTACAATCTTCTGACTCAGAGCAAGGGTGCCAACTGAGCCTTGCCTGACAGCTGTAATGTTTTCATGTTGTGGCACATGAAGCTGACACCTTGCCTGCTGCTTTGCTGTAAATTCACACAAGGACAGTTGTAGATTGGAAACTGGATTGACACTGTCTGTTCTTGAAAATGCTAACAGCTGTCTGCTTTGTATGACTAGAATGGAAAAGATTATGCACAAACGGAGGGAGCTAACAAGATGTGGCAACTGTATTGCTAATAGCTGGAATGGAGTCAATTGGCAGTTTGGACTAGAACCAGCTGGGAAGCTCCAAGCCACCTCAGTCAGGCTGATGTCCACTTAAATGCATTCTTCTTAATCCCCTTTTAGAAACAAACTCAACCACGTATTATTAAATTGGAGAGGGTTCAGCAGAGATTTACTAGGATGATGCTGGGACTGGAGGGTTTGAGTTATACGGTAAGGCTGGATAGGCTGGGACTTCTTTTCACCGGAACATAAGAGGTTGAGGGGGGAACCTTATAAAATCATGAGGGGCATAGATAAGGTGAACAGCAAAGGTCTTTTTCCCTAGGGTTCAAAACTAGGGGGCATATTTTTAAGATGAGAGGAGAAAGATTTTAAAGGGACCTGAAGGCAACTTTTTCACATAGAGGGTGGTTTGCTGGTGGAATAACCTGCCACAGGAAGTGGTAGATTTAGGTACAGCTACAAAATTTTAAAAGACATTAAATAGGTACAGGAATAGGAAAGGCTTGGAGGGGGATAGGCCAAACGCAGGCAAATGGGACTAATTTAGTTTGGGAAACTTGGTCGGCATGGACGAATGGGACTAAAGGATCTGTTTCCGTACTGTGTGACTCTATGACTCCTACCCTGACAGACTGTATATTCGCAATATTGCACATAGTGGAGCAACATTTAATATAATCGGCCTACTACTGAGAACAGGACATTGTGGACAATCACTGCATCTAAATAGGTAAACCCCACACCCAATCTTAAATGTATTGTGAAGCTGGAGGTGGTGCAGTGGGGAACAGAAACTTCTCCTGTGACCTCCTGTCACACTGACCGAACCAAAGCAACACTAGGGAAACCTTGCAGGAGAGATTGTCTCAGACTTACTGCCTTTCTTTGCCCACAACTGTTTCCTCCTAACCGCAGCCACAATGCATCAACCCTTTAAGAATCACTGGCTGTATTTAAGAAGGGTCAAAGATACCCAATTTCCTGTCCTCCACCCGTGAACAGAAGCATAACCTTGTAAGCGGTGTTGGTGTTGCTGCCTTGTACATCTGATGATAATGAGGGGGTCAGCTCCAAATTCATGTGATCCCAGCATCCAAGTGAACATACACTCATTTTCAGACACAATCTTATTTCTACCCCAATGCTTAAGACAGTGGCAGGAAAATGCGGTCTGTCCGTGCTCCCTGCACAACATGTTCACTATGTTAGCCATGGCTTTAAGGGAATATCCATTTCAAATACAAAAGGGTGGAAAATCTGAAGAAAAGTCATTTAACGCATATTCTATCATAGTCGGCTTCAAAATCAGCAATGCCTGAGGGCAGGAATCCATTTCTCTTGTTAGACTCTCAGCTGGAGACTGTTCTGTAACAGAGGGCTGTTCCAAAGCATGGAGGACTGTTGATCTATTTCAAAGATTTTTGTCCAACTGCAAAAAGAAGTTTGGATTTCTTCAATTACATAAAGGTTAAACATTGCCTAAAAACAGTTTGCAAGTTCAGCGGCAACTCAATCATTTGCTCAATTATATGGACAAAATTAGAACATCTATTTTTCCAATTTTATAGATACTTGAGCAAGGTAACATTCTTACTGTTTAAACAGTTCTCGGGAGGAGACTTATATTGACATTAGATAAAGGTCTGAGAAATCAATTTAGCATAATAGCACTGCATATACTTCATGGTTTGTATTCATTCATGGAATGTGGTCACAGCAAGCTAGCCAGCATTTAATTCCTATCCCTAATTGCATTACCCCTTAAACAGAAAAAATGCTGACTCTATTACACACCACACTGAATGATGAATGAATGAATTTTGCTCAGACTGAAGATCGAGTTTTGAGGAATTAACGGAACCTGGCAGATTTGCCTAGCGTAGAACTAAAGGAAGAAATTCTACAGTGTAACCCTCACAGTTAGGGATAGTTCTGGGATCAGAGGTCACCCCACTTGGCAAGTAAAGAGAAACGAACCCATTGGAAGCTAGGAGTACCACTGAACTGTTTGTGATAAGAACTGTAATTCCATGCAGAGTGCAACGTGAGAGAAGTAGAAAGGAACCAATTATTTCTATAAAGTATAAATAGCCTCCAAAGAAAAAAGTTTTATCAATAATGTTTTTAGTCATTATATACAGTAAAGGTTTTAAAACATGAAACTCTTTCAGCTGTTAACAGCAAGTATGATGGTTATTCATCTCTTCAGAGATTGTAACGATAATCAGCTAAATATTCAAACGTTCTCAAGTAAAAGAATCAATCAATCAGCATTGTGCCACAGCCGCACTAACCCTGGTATTAGAAAATAGATGGATATTAGTCACACCAGAAGCCCTCACTTAGGTTCTCGAGTAGATTTGTAGCTCGGGTTGTGGATGCTGTGGTTGGTTTGCTCGCTGAGCTGGTTCGTTAGTTTGCAGACATTTCATTACCCTGCTGGGTAACATCATCAGTGCAGCCTCCGATGAAGCGCTGTTGTGTTTTCCTGCTTGTTATTTAAACTCTGGGGTCCATTGGAGTCGATTACCTCATTTCTGGTTTTTCTTTGCAGTGGTGTATAAATAGGGTCCAATTCTACATGTTTATTGATGGCCTTCTTGGTAGAGAGCCAGGCTTCTAGAAATTCTTGTGCCTGTCTCTGTTGGGCCTGCCCTAGGATCCTGGTGTTGTCCCAATCGAACTGGTGGTTCTCCTTGTCTGTGTGTATGGAGATGAGTGAGTATTGTTTGTGTCTTTTTGTTGCTAGTTGGTGTTCATGTGTTCTCGTAGCCAGTTTCCTTTCTGTCTGTCCAATGTAATGTTTGTCACAGACCTTGCATGGAATCTTGCATATTACACTGGTTCTGTCCATAGTGGGTAAGGGGTCTTTAGTTGTTAGCAGTTGGCGTAGGGTTAATGTAGGTTTGTGCACTGCTCCGATGCCCAGTGGCCTTAGGAGTAACATACAAGATTCATGCAAGTGGGAAAATACAACAACGCTTCATCGGAGGCTGCACTGATGATGTTATGCGGCAGGATAACGAAACATCTGCAAACTAATGAACCAGCTCGGCGAGCAAACCAACCAAAGCCCTCACTTGCGCAGTAGGGAAACAGTGAGAGTGTGTCAGCATGGAGAAGATAGGCCGAATGGACCCTTCTGTGCTGTATCCTTTCTATGGTTCTATGTGTTCTTTGCCATATAAAGGAGCAAAGATCAAAGGAAAAGCATCTGTACATGAACTCCTCTACTTGTTTAATGGCTGACCAAAGGAACATTGGCAGAAAGCTGCAAACTAGTGGCCAGCTCCCTTTCCATTTTGCTCACACTTATTGCTTTATCAGGGTGTCAGAGAAAGGTCATTGAACAATTTGGAAAAAAACGTAATTCTGAACCTCACAAAAAGACACAAATTAATTATGCTTTTACCTTATCAATTGCAGTTAGCCTGCTCTCAAACAGGGACTTCTCATTATTGCTGATTACTTTTGTTACATCCTTATACTTGCAAACGATAGTAACTGAACTGGTCGCTAAAATTCTCATTCTGGATGTACTGCCATCACTGAAGACAGCCAGCGTGGTTCCTGACAATTGTATAATTAAAATTACAAGAAGCTGGCTAGCGTAGGTTCGGAAAAATTAAGGAAAATAATTTCATAGGTTTGAAGTTGGAAGACCTACCTCGTAAACAAGCACAGAATACAATGATTGATTTACTGTGACATGCAATTATTAAAGCAAGCTACTTTACATTGCTACAATAAAACAAAGAACAGCGGATGCTGGAGATCTGAAACAAAACCAGAAATTGCTGGAAAAATTCAGCAGGTCTGGCAGCATCCGTGGGAAGAAAGCAGAAGTCACATTTCAAATCCAGAGACTCTTCAGTAGAACTGTTAGCATCTCAGAAAATCTATTATTTATGCTGAAGCTGAAGTTGGGGGCCAGGGGATGAGGATGGAAGTGGAAATGGAAATGGGAGAGGTGAGTGGTTAGGTGGAGAGAGAGCCCAGAGTGAGATGAAAGGAGTAGGTGTACAAGGAGATTATGGATAGCAGGCCAAGACTGAAGAAACACTGAATAAGGGACAATAAGAGCTACGAGTAATAGAAAAGAGGTGAGCTGTACAGAATGCAACCCATACAGTGCGATAATGGGCCTGAGAATAAGTGACTGTCCTAAATGCGACCCATGTCATCACAGGACTGGGTTTGGAGTTGGGTAAAAAACGTGGAATCAGGCTTGTAAGTTATTGAACTCAATGTTGAGTCCTACAGGCTGCAGGGTCCCCAAGCGGAAAATGAGATGTTCTTCTCTGAGCTTGTGCTGAGGTTCAGTAGAACACTGCAGCAGACTTTTAACACAAACGTTGGCAAGAAAACATGGTGCTGCGTTGAAGTGGCAGGCCACTAGAAGCTCAGGGTTATTTTTGCACACAAAACATAGGTGTTCGGCAAATTGGTCACCCAACTGGTGTTCCGTCTCCCCAGCGTACAGGAGGTCACATCGTGAACAGTGAACACTGTAGACTAGGTTGAGAGAACTGCAGGTAAATTGATGCTTCACCTGGTAGGTGCATCTGGAGCCTTGGATAGTGAGGTTGGAGGAGGTAAATAGGCAGGTGTTACACCTTCTGCGATTGCATGGGAAGGTGCCGTTAGGAGATGTTGGCAGTTGAGGAGAAATGGACCAGGATGTGCTGGAGGGAACGGCTCCTGTATAATGTTGACAAGGGAGGGAAGGGGAATACGTGTCTGGTCTTGGCATCCATTTGGAGATGACAGAAATGGTGGCATACAATCCTCTGGATGCAGAGGCTGGTGGGGTGCTAAGTGAGGACCAGGGTAGGGGGTAGGTGGTGGGGGTTGGTCCTATCATGGTTGTGGGAGTGAAGGGAAGGAGTAAGGGCAGAAACTGGTCTCTATGCTGCAGGAATGGTGCTGTGAAATTTGAAAGGGTTCAGAGAAGATTTACAAGGATGTAGCTAGGGTTGAAGGATTTGAGCTATAGGGAGAGGCTGAATAGGCTGGGGCTATTTTCCCTGGAACATCAGAGGCTGACGAGTGACCTTGTAGAAGTTCATAGAATTATGGGGGGCATGGATAGAGTGAACAGTAAAAGGTCTTTCCCCCAGGGTAGGGGAGTCCAAAACTAGACAGCATAAGTTTAAGGTGAGAGGGGAAAGATATAAAAGGGATCTTAAGCAGCAATGTTTTCATGTAGACGGTGGTGCGTGTATGGATGAGCTGCCAGAGGAGATGGTGCAAGGTGGTACAATTACAACATTTAAAAGGCATCTGGATGGGTATAGAAGTAGGAAAGGTTTAGAGGGATATGGGCCAAATGCTGGCAAATAGGACCAGATTACTTTACGATATCTGGTTGGCATGGATGAGTTGGACTGAAGGGTCTGTTTTCATGCTGTACATCTTTAGGACTCTATGGCTAAAAATGGGAGATAGGTTGAGTGCTGCTTATTTGCTGTTGGCCTTTGTTTAGATATGTACAGAGTGGCCAAAATAGAATCTTCTGAACAAATTAATAACAATTCAAAAATTTTCAATTACTATGAGGTTGTTGACTTGCTCGCTGAGCTGGCTTGATTTTGTTCAGATATTTTGTCACCATGCTAGGTGACATCATCAGTGGAACCTCTGATGAAGCGATGTTATTCTACTTAATATCTGTACATTCAGACAACGAAGGCCATCAGTTTAACTGGGACAATGTAACCATAGTAGCCCAAGCCAAACATAGACACACACAGGAATTCCTAGAGGCATGGTTTTTCACCCATACTTCAATCAACAAACATATAGAATTGGACCCCATATATAAATCCATACAGATCAAAACCGGAAATGACAGTACTCACCAGAACGGACCGGACAGTATAAATTCAAAGCAGAGTAGAATAACATCACTTCATCGGAGGCTCCACTGATGATGTCACCTAGCATGGTGACAAAACGCCTGAAAAAAAAAAACAAGCCAGCTCGGTGAGCAAGTCAACAACCTCATTCACAACCCAAGCTATAGATCTTTGCCAAAATTTTCAATTACTATGTAAGTTTCTTCTCCTCCATCATTCAACATTTTATTCTCCCCTTCTCTCCATGGTTCTTCCCAAGACAAGGTTTTGTATTGCATGTCATTTAATGTTAAAAGAGCTGGCAATTTTGTAAGTGAATTAGTATAATAGACTAACTTTTAGTAGGTGTGCTTGTCATTAGGATTACAATCACGCATGCTAAAACTACAAAAGAGATAGCAGAGATATTATGATAGATTTAAAAAGATCATTAGAAAATGATATAGTGTCAGACGACAGCTAGTAACATTCTTCCATTTACAAAGGGAGACAGATCAAATCCAGACAACTATACAGTGTGCAGGGCTGGATGAACACAGCAGGCCAAGCAGCATCATAGGAGCA